ATGGCATTTGCAAGTAGTGAATTTTCAGATGTGGCAATGTTTTTAATTTTCATGCACCTGGTTAGGCACAGAGGCATGGAGCTAAGCAAGGGCAGTCTTGGGGGCTCTCCACACAGGCTAGAGAGGGGATAAGGTGCTATCTGAAAGAGGTTAGTGCAGCCTTGTACTTCCCCAAGACTGTTCCTACAGTCACAGCTTTGTCCACTTCCCTTGGCCTTTGAGGAGAGACCTGCTGGGCCTCCATGACACCAGTGAGTGGACCAGGAAGTCCAAAGGTAATATTTGCAGGAAAAGTCCACCATCTGTGTAGTCCTTGCAAGAGCTTTCAAAAGGAGGAGGGACTCCATTTTGCCAGGCAAAACCTCTAGACTAGGGTCAAATGGGCAGGAGGAAGGATGCCATGCTCAAGGACCATCTCATCGCTCTCAACCTTAGTGAGCCTTAACTTTCAGGTATGTCCCTCAGGCCATATGCTTGGCCACTGAAGAAGAGCTGCCCAGAAGCCCTTACCACAGGCAGCAGATTCTGCATGCAGAAAGGGTGCTTTCCATTGCTTTTCCTGTCCAGACTGGGAGACTAATGTGCCATGCACGCTTGAAATTTCTTTCCTAGAAGCCACATCTAGAGCCATAGTAATAAAAACCGAATCATCTTCACCAGCCCAGAAGTATGGAGACAGCGAAAAAAAAAAAAGGAACCATGAGCATGGCATGTTTTCAAAGGTCTCCTGGTCACTTTTGTTGCCAACAGCCTTGCTTATGAGGAATCAGAACCCAGGGACACCAGAAGGGCACACGTGTCTTGACAGCCTGTATGCTAGCTTGGGAGGTGACAGAAGGTGCTCATGTTCATGAGGTCTTCTTCTCTGTCACTTTTCCCAGTGCTGATTCACTAGTAACTAAAGATTAAAAGCCTGAGCTGTCATAGGCACAAAGAAGACAGTTATCTACTGCCTTCTGTCTAGAAAGCTCCCCACCCACGCTAGGCTGACTGCGGAGATCTGAAGATGGGCTATATGGTAGCTGTCATGGCATCAAAGCTTCTTTGACACTTTTCTGGTTTGCTTTTTCACTTCTCACCAATTTCTTTCTCTGGGTTTTTATTTCCTTCCACCAGTTTTCATGCAATTTTCAGTCTTTCCTTAATGGCATGCAGCTTCAGTCACACTGAAGTTCCAGCCTTGGCTGACCTGTTGCAGATGTGTGCCTGAGACAGTTTTAGCTCCTTTCAGACAAAGTGCCCCCTTTTGAGGTGGGTAGGATGTTTGCTTCATTCAGCAGCACCCTTGAGACCCTTCGGTGTGCTTACAACATACATGAAATCTCAGATCCCAGACAAATGGGCAGCACGTTGCAAGCTAAACTGGATAATTCTGAAGACTCTTGTGAATAAGTTCATGACTCTACCAGTGGTGATGAATAAACTTCAAAAAGGATTGGGAAGACACCTATTTTGAATGTCTTGTTCAAACACCAGTGCAATCTCTTACAGGTTTTTCCAAAGTCATGCTTCCTTAGGGCTGTCCTTGTGAGTCTGCATCACCCAGCTGCCTCAGGTTTGTGCTCTTTGATTGCCAGCAGGACATATTCTTCACTCCACTTCCCAGCACCAGCTTCCTCTGCTTCATCCCGGGGAAGGTCAACAGGCCTCATGTCTGATTGTAACCTCTTGGACTGGGCTTTCCTTGGGAGCTGGCTGGGGTAATGTGTTGAAACAACATTACTGCTATGTCCCCCTTTTCCTGTGCTCCAAGATGAACATCCAAGAATGAGAAAAGAGGGTCAATTTTTCAAAGATATTGCCTGACCAGGGAGTCAAATTTCCAGTTTCAAAAGTGACTTGGATACTGAGAAACTTAAGTGTATGACTAGGGAATTCAGTGAAGCCTCATGCAGAGCCATGCCCTTAAGTTCTCCTCAGGCAGTTCGGGGTGCAGCCCAGCACACTCCCACATGGAGGTGGTAGTAGAGCTCTCAAAAAACAGATACTGTGTAGCACAGAAAACAGTTTTGGTCATGGGCAGTGAGGGTGCACCAGCTTTTTTTCTCAGTGCAGACCTACGAAAACTGCAGTGAAAACCAGCAAGAAATCAAGTGCCAAAGCCACGTCAGTCATGCAGGGCCTTCCAAAGCTTTCTTCTGTGAGATGGACAGCAGGTGAAATGTCCCCTGGATGTGGGTCACCCTGTCTTGGAGAACTGGGAAATGCATTCTTTATGGGAAAGATGGACACGTTTGGAGCTGTGGAGGTGTTGAGGTGGAGAAGGACGGTAGATGGGATGGAGAGATTATGCAGACTTTTATTGGCTATATCTTCTCCTTGGATCATGCTGGATTCAGAGGTGTGTCTGCAGGTCCCCTGTAGGCATCCAGCACTTAGGCTCAGACTACCTTTGGAGTACCAGCAGGCCATCCCACAAGCAGATGGCCTCCTTTAGGAGCCTTTGGCAGTGGTGTATCAGTGTGTCAGCAAATGCCCCAGCCCCTACCCCCCAGGAGTGTTAATGCAGGTCTCCAGGCAGGGATTAGACTCTATGCACTGGGGCAATGTCACCAGCCATGTCCATTGCCACAGCTGGGAGATCTTTACACCCTGTCCTGCCTTGTGCCTAGCCATCTGGTGCCTCCTCGAGCCCTTCTCCAGACCCCAGCTGAATCTCACCTCTCCTTTTTGGAGAGGAGCCCTCCAGCTTAGAGAAGTCTGTATCTGACAGATGGGCTGGTGTACCCCTGGTCTGTACAGCTGGTGAGGCTGCTGAGAGCCCCTAGCGCTCCCTCATATGTTGTGATTCCCACCTGCTGGCCCAGATCAGTGTATGTCCATGATGAGGGAGAACTATTAAAAGTCAAGGTTTTCTGGTCATAATGAATAGGGAAGACTTCACTAATTTCTACCTTGCCCCCCCAGGGAACTAAACAGTTGCTGAAAAAAACTGTCTGTGTTCCTTTAAGCAAGTAGAGAGAAGCAGAAATTAATCTCTCTTCTTGACTTCTTTTTATTGCCACTGGAGTTGCATATCTGTAATGTGCCGTCTAAACATAAATCTGTCAAGAACAACAAATACTGCCATAGCCCTTGAGCAACAGTACAGAACTAATCTGCCAACAAGCTTTGGAACTACAAAGCTTTGGTCATATTTGGTCATTATTTGGTCAAAGCCATCCCTTCCTCATCCCCTTTGCTGTGTCCACAGACTGGGAGCAAGCATTAGTGTACCTTTGTGAGGCATGTAAGGGTCAGATCTGCTCTGCCCAAGTGGGGCTGGCATTGAGCACGTGGGACTTGGACCTGGACCTGCCCCGCTCCACCCCACCATATGTGCAGGTTGGGACCAGTCATGTGACACTGTGCTGAGGCTGCTCCGGCTGCTTGCTGTCCTTTGCAGTGGACCAGCAGGGAGCTAAGCCATTGACCTCAGGCTCGGGCCTCTGGTCCATGTCCTTTTTGCTGAGACATCTTTCAGTCCCTTCTTTGCTGACCAGCTGGGGTATAAGGGACAGTGTGATCTTATGGGTGGCAGCTGAGAGTAAGGAAGGTCTGACGTGTATGAGGCCCAGGACCTGCAGCCCTGCTTACCCCAAAAAGTTGGAAAGCAGATGTTAAGATGCTAGCTATAATGATAAAACCCTCTTAAGCTCAGAGGAGGGAGAGATTGGCTGGGGAGGGAGGGAGGGAGTTGTGGGACAGGCAGGTAAGAGCTGGGACTTCAAGAAAGCTAGGCATAACTTTGAGGGACTATCCAAGGAGGCCATAAGAAAAGATGTGAAGTGAGGGAGAGAGATAAGTGCCTGGGGAAGAAGCGTTTGACCACCCACAGCTGAGCTCCCATTGCTTCCCAGGCTTACCCTCAGCTGCGGAGGGTCACAACACAGTGTGTGGGTGCTGCTGCACCGTGCGTGGTTCCGCAGCTCCTGCTGCACCCCTGCCCCTGCCCCCGTGCTCCCCAAACCTGGCTTAGCCTGGGAGCTACTCCAGGGAGCTTACTCATGAGCCGGTGCACGTGCCTCATGGCCCTTGTCTGCAGGGTGCCATACCTGCCACTGCAGCATCATGCTAATGTATAACTGGTGTCCCATGAGCTGGCACATCCCAGCCCATCATGTAACATTGGTTGGGATAGCCTGAGAGAGTCTTTCAGCTGGGCAGCATCTTTCTTCCCTGTTTCTTTATCTCTGTTAACACAGAGACTCTGTACATGCTTTCTCTCTAACCACAACATAACCCTTTTCCCTGGAACATCCTGTGGGTACTTCTGGGGTAATAACAGGAAGATGCTTGCCATACACAATGCTCATTGTCACCTGAGCAGCTGCTCACTGCTCTGTGGTGCCTCTTGCCAGTCTTGTCTAGATAGCAGCTCCAAGGAGAGCCTCTGAAAGTAGTGTCCAGCCCATCTCAATCTTCCTGCCAGCTGATGCTTCTAGCAGGTGAGAAGGAAGCAGGCAGGCAGAGGAGGAAAGGAGGGGTTTGGCTGGCTGCTTGAAGACCCAGGCCAAAAATAAGGCTGGAATGCTGATGTTGCAGGTGCCCGGTTAAAACAAAGCAAAGAGTAAATATGCGTGTAAAGCTTTTATTTTTTCCATTCATCACAATGCACTTTTTATTTCTGACCTTAGCCTCAAGAATGGTGCCAGACATGTTCTGTGATTTCTCCCCTTTTCCCCTCCAGATGTCCAAATGGATTCTTCGGACAGAGATGTTTGGAGAAACTGCCTTTGCGATTGTACATGCCAGATCCTAAGCAAAGTATGTTTGAAGACAAAAAATGCACCACACTACTTAAAACCTCCTGGGCACAGCGGTGGATGTAGAGTGGTCTAGTCAGGGATGGCTCTTGGTGTCAGCTTTGGGCTAGGGCTTAGGGATGCAGGTAAGGGTGAAGGCTGAAAGCAGATGGATAGGAGTCGTGGAAGGGATCAGAAGGGGCCTCAGTTTGGTCTGTTTGGGTGTCATTTTGCTATCTTGTATCTCTCTCTTTCTGGTTTTCTTTCTTCCGGTAGGTGTCCGATCGAATTCACAGGAGACCGGTGTCAGCATTTCGCAATGGTCAGCTTCTCCAGTATGTCTCTTTCTACTTCTCTCTCTCCCTGGTTATTGTAGCTCTGTGTCATGTCCTTAAGCAGGTTCTTCTGTTCTCCCAGAGCCCTCTTCCTATCTTGTGCACTCGCAGCTCTGCTTGGCTGCAAGAGGAGCTTGTGATCGTGTCCAAGAGGAAAACTGGGGCTCTTGTTATCTCCCCATTTGTTAGAATGGGTTCTGCTTTCATTTCTGATTGAACTTAATGTTGCTTGCTCCTTTCATGCAAAATGCAAATAAGGCACAAGGTTATGTGGTGTGCTGTGTGAGAACAGTCTGTGTGATAAGCTGTATCTGCTAGCATTACTGTCTCAAGATGGACTATGTTGTGCAGTGCAAGACATGTACATTTTCCTGTGACTCTTGCAAGGGGTTGTGTGAGTCTCTCTGTACCGAGAAAATCACAGCACAGGCTGTAATGAAATTTCCCCCGAGGTAGTGTTGTGTTTCTGTTTCCAGAAGCTAAACCAAGCATCAGTTGAGATGGTTGGAGGCTGGCTTGGAGTCAGATCCTGGAGCACGCCCAAAGGCTCCAGGGCACACATGCATGCCTGGAGCCCCAGAGGTCACGCTGGTGGCTGCCACTGTTTCAGGGCTTCCCACGCCTCAGTGCCATGCAGGCTAAATCTGCTGACTGGGCATCCCGAACTATATCCCTCCCAGACACAAAGATGTTCCTGTCTCTCCTAGGGGGTTGGACAGCCTTGCATATGGGGTTGTGTCTAATTACAGTGACTGACCCTTTGACCTTGTATTCAGTGGATGTAAATACCCCAGAGCCCTTGCACTTAGTGCTTCCCGATTTCTAGCTTCCAGTTCCTACAGGCTCTAGGTCTCCAGAGATGCCTCGCTTATAGACATCATTAGCTTGTTTTGTTCAAGGCAGATAATTTTTCAAGGTCCATATTCAGACAGTGTCCCAGCATCAGTGGGATCCTGGTCTGGGTAAGGACTGACCTGAAAGGAGGCCCCTTACAGTGCAGGGAATTGGCTATGGTGACCCTCTGTGTGACCCACTGTGTGACCCATCCTGCCTCCATGCTGGCCATTTGGACCACCACAAATGGTGGTTTTAAAAAGAGGCTTTTTAAAAAGAGCCACAAAAGAGGCTTTAATCAGTGGGAACCAGAGAAGAAATGCGGCTCCATGATGACTCCTTGATTCCCAGTACCCCCTCTCCCAGCTCTGTAAGAAATCCTGCAGTCCTCATCCTGAACTGGATGTTCAG